TTGAGGTTGTGGTTAGACATGCAGAGCCCTAGGCCCCACCCCAGACCAGCTGAATCTGAATCTGCGTCCTAATGAAATCCCAAGGCGCCTCGTATGTATGTATGTATGTACGTTAGAGCTTCAGAAGCACTTTTCTAAATTCAGGAGATGGTAAAGAAAAGGGGCAAGGAAAGCCGGGCAGGAGTTGACAAGAGTCTAATAACAGATGCGGGGATCTGTATCTGAACGAAGACGGACTTTTCCCCAGCAGTGTGCACATATTTTCTCTTTTTCCCTTTGGCTACTAGGGACTTTGGGGAAGTCATTTCCCCTTTCGGAGTCTCAGTTTCCCCACCTGGTGAGTGCACTGAACTAGAGTCTATCAGAGTCCTTCCCTAAGGTGTTCTCTGGATCTTGGACTCTAAGGGCTGACACTCGTGTGGACACACTTATCCTATTTTCTGGGGGAACCCCAGTGCTATTGATGAACCAGCAAATTTTCCCTTGGTGATTCGTGCCAAGAGGCAAGCTCAGCCCATTGTTGAGATCTGGCTAGGCAAGAGAGATTTGTCAACTGCGTGCTTGTTGAATGATGACGCGGCTGAACACAGTCCTGCAGAGGAAACGTGTTGTCTGGGTGACAGAGTCACACGGGAACATCAGGGCTTTGACTGGTGTCCCCTGATCTTTGTCAAAACTTATGCTCCATCAATAGGTTTCAGGGGTGACACTTCAGTAATATCCTCCTCCCACTCCACCCCCTACCCCCCGGCAACACACACACTCCCCAGAAAATCCCTAGACTATTTGCTGAGGCTAATTTAGGAGTATGCGGCTGGTCATGCCTGCATCAAGGGGAACCTCTTCATGCTGTAGACTAGAGGTTGGCAGGAGACAGCCCGCAGGCCGGATTCAGACCACTGACTATTTTTTGTAAATAAAATGCTGTTGAAATTCAGCCAATGCACTGAGGTAGTATCTTTGGCTGCTTTTGTGCTTCCACTTGAGAATGAAGGGTTTTGATGGAACAGGTGGCCCACAGAGCCTGAGGCATGTACCGTCTGGCCCTTTACAGAACAAGTTTGCCACCCCTGCTGCAGCCCAGGAGTGAGGGAAGTGAAGTTTATGCCTTCACATAATGATATTTTGTCTGGTGTATGTAGATTAAATAAATGACACACCAGGGAACTTAGAAGCTAGCTTCTGCTGCAGTGAGACCTGACAATTAAGAACAGGGGTTTTAAAACCAGACATGCTGGGTTCATTGAAGCTCAGTCCCTTTGCTTACAAGCTGTGTAATCTTGGACAAGTTGCTGAACGTCTCTGAGCCTCAACTTCCCCTCCTATAAAACACGATCATTGTCATGCCAGAGCCTGCAGATGGTTGTGATGGTTACTCCTAGTTTGTCCTGGGACCACGTGGACAACCACCCAGAACCAAGAGCTGATACCATATTCCATTATCGACACTGAAGTCTGCTGCAAAGGCACCTGCTGTCGAGGGACAAGTTGCTGATGAAAGATGGCTGCGGTGACTCCCAGAAACTCAGAGTTCAGTTCCAACGGGGCATGAATATCAAGCTGGAGTTCTAAAGGGCTCCCGGAGGGCAACCTTCCCTGAGGCAGAGAGATGCAGACCTGCTGGAGCTGTAGCATCCAGCTCCTTCCGTTCTTCATCAAGGAAGGCCTGGCATCCACAGAAAACTGAGCAGCTCCCTTTCCTTGGTTAACCCTTTATTGTGCTTATTGGCATACAGACCAACAGACAGTTTCTTCTTACTGTTTTATGAGCTTTTGGACGAGAGGAATCATGTCTGACTCACCCTTTGTAGCTGTTCAGTGTCTGTTTGCTGCGTGGACCACAGAGTCCAGGATTATAGTCTGTTAACATCAGTGTCCTACAAAGGAAAACTGGCCATCTTGAGCCGGGAGCCCACGTGTACCATGGAGAGACTACCAGCAGAGACACAAGGAGCCGTCAGGGGACGGTTGCGGAAGTCCCTGAGGCAGCACGTTCTCAGAACAGCACCTGACACCCCAAGCTACCCCTCAGCCCTCAGTGTCTGCCAGCAGGACGGAGACTCTGAGTCGTGTGTCTGCCTCAGAAGCAACAAATGCAAAGGGCAAAAGCTTTTTTCTACTGATGGCAGATGGAGCCCTCGGATGAAAGCTAAAGATGCCGGCTGCCCCCCAGTAGTGACACCCAGCATAACCTGGAGAAATGGTCCACAGAAAACAGTCCGTGCGCTGTGCAGATGCCCGGAGCTGCTTTCCCCATGCCTCTCACAGGTGTGACTGCAGGAGGGATGAAGACAGAGAGGTCCATGCCATGAGATCATCCCAGGCCTGCCCTAGAGAAGAGCACTGGCCAACAGCTATCTGAGAAAAGCCTTCTGGAATTCCTTCCCAGTTCATCAACCTCACAACTTGAGTTTTAACAAAACCTGGTATAGTAGCATCCTAACGTGCCAGTCCAGCTCCCCTGCCCCAGCTGTGTGAGTCACCTGGTGGCTCCAGGCCTGTCTCCTCCCCTATGAATGGGAGAGAGAAGTCAGGGTTCAGTAAAAGAATGTATGTAGAAGGGAGGGTATAGCCCACGTGGTAAAGAGGATGCTTAGCACGCACGAGGTCCTGGGTTCAATCCCCAACACCCCCTCTAAAATAAATAAATAAATCTAATTATACCCACCCCGAAAAACAACCAAAAAAAAATATGTAAATGACACTCCTCGCACACCACAGTGTTCAAGCACAACTAGTTCTTGCCTTTCCTTCGTAAATCTTGAGAACCATGACAGAGAGAATCACTTAGTATTAGTGAACAGAAAGCTTATGAACTAAAATATAAGCCCCATTTGATTCAGCTGCATGTGGATCTGTTGTCTTTAAGGCGTCCTGGTTGGTGAAATCCTCAATCATATGAAGAGCGCAACTCAGCCATCAAACCACAGAAGGCTCATCATGTATTCCGCGGTGAGTGCCTCGTCTCCCTTCAACATCCGTTTGTTCAAGGGTGCGAGTTCTTTCAGGAGCCTCATTCCCTTCATCACCATTTCCCTATTACCCTATAAATGGTAGACCCCTGTTAAAATCTTTTAAAATTAAATACATATTGGGAGTTGGAGATGTGCAAATACTAACTACTATATATATATATAAAACAGATGAAAAACAAGTTTCTTCCGTAGCGCACAGGGAACTATATTCAATATCCTGTAGTAACCTATAATGAAAAAGAATATGAAAAGGAATACATGTATGTATATGTATGACTGACACATGATGCTGTACACCAAAAACTGACACATTGTAACTGACCATACTTTAATAAAAATTAATTAATTAATTAACTTAATTAGATACCTAATTCTAGCCCTCAAGGAATTTACAGTCTAATGCTGACAAAAAGACAAATGAGCACACAAACACCATGCAAAGCAGGCTAGCATTGTCATTCATGCCAGCGCCTCGGTGCCTCAGAGAAAGGAAGCAACACTTCTGTTCCAAACTAAAACCAGAGCGGCAGCAGGAGGGGAAAGGGGGCAGCAGGGTCACAAGGAGAGCTGAGTGCACAGGACGTGGTGATGAACTGGAATGTGGGCAGAGGGCAGTGGTGTGGAAGGTAAGCCGCAAGTGAAGGTGATGTTTCAAGCCTCAAAGACTGGGAAGAGGGTGGAACCATTCACAGAGGCGGTCACCAGCCTGGTGAGTGTGCTGATGAGGCAGCTGGGTTTGAAATGCCAAGGGCATCCAAGGAGGAAACTTCAGGTGGCAACAGAAGAGGGCAAGGGAAGGTGAGCTGCGACTTGAAGTTAGAGCTACGTTTGGCTGGAGAGAGGAAAGAGAGAGAGCTTGGAGAAGACATCCGTCTTGAAGCAGGAGCCAGGGAAATAGACACTGTGGAGGGAGATTGCTGAGGATGTGCCACGCACGGAAGTGGCTGTCCGTGGAGTCTGGATGACCAAGGAAACAGGACATGGTGCCCTGACTCAGGCTCCCACCCACTTCTCCATAACAGTGGATTTCTCAGATATGGTTTAGCTGGAGAAACCCAGGCTTTCATTCAGCAGAGGATGGAAGAGGTGACTAAAGATACAGGGAAGTTTATTTATTGTCTGGAGTTTCAAATGGTGTAGGCTAGAGAAAGAACTCATGGAGGGAACAGAGTATAGGGCTTCTTGGAAAAAGGCAGACTTGAAATTAGTTGATTCTTTTGATTTTTTTAGTTTCTAATCTGATTTCCAGTACTAACTTGTTGTGTGGTTGACTTCTGGCAAGTCATAAATCTGTAAAATCCTTTTTTTTTCTCTAGTAAATCAGCACTAACTCCTTTTGAGTATGTGTATACTGCCATATAGTTCAGGCAATCAAATATTATGCCCATTTTGTAGATATGCAAATTGAGGTTTTCTTAAGATTAGATAGCTAATCAGTGGCAAAACTAGGGCTGAAAACCAGCCCCCTATGCCCTCCAGCTATTCTGAGATAAACATTTAACAATTATCATTAAGCTACACACTCTACTTCCTTACATTTTATTCTCTCTAACCATTTATAACCTCATATATTCTTCTCCAAACTTAAAATCACAGATCATGCTAATCTATAGAAAAAAATATGATCTAGCATTAATGTTTTCCGAATTATCTTAAAATTTAATGAAAATGAGTGAAACAAGCTAAAACAGAGATATATTCTATTGGGGAAAGGCATGGAACAAAATCAGAAGACTTGGCTCGAATTTACTTTCTTCCACTTTGGAGACATATGACATTAAGCAAGCTAATTAATTTCTTTGGGTCTCAATTTCTTCATCTTTTAAAAGGAAATAATGATATATATATTAAATCTCACTACCTACACCCAGCAGATACTCAACCAAAATTAGCCCTTTCCCTCTCTACTTTTTAAGTCACTGGGGTTATGGGAAATTTAACTGCATCAGGAACCATTGTGGTGTTCTACAAGTGTTTAGTACATACCTATGGACTAAATCTGAACCAGACATAAAGATCAAAAAATGTTTGACATCTCTGTTAGCATGACACTACCGTGAGTGCCCTCCAGATGGCGCTAGATGTCTACAACGGAATCCTTCCTCCCTACGCTTCCTGCCACTTAATGGAATTGTACCTGGAGAAGGGGTGAGTGTCTAAGAGATGCTTTTCAAGATTAATATCACTGGACCCCAGGCTTTGTTATTGTTGTTGTTGTTTGTTGTTGTTGTTGTTGGCTTAAGGGTTGTGTCTCTGGTTGTTTTGGTTTGGTTTTATATTCAGAGGGAAGAATGGTGGCGAGTTACCAATATCTTTGCTAGTCATGACACCTTTTTTCTGTACTTTATTTTATTGGGAAAGAATGGACAGACGCAGTAGTTGAAAAAGTTGGGAGAATCAGCCTAGGTGACAGAAATGATGTTGTTTTGAAAAGATGAAGATATTCTAAGAAGTCTGTGAACATTACATTGTTCTCTTGGAAAATACAAGGTGGTGGACTATACCAGGAGAAAAATAAAGTTTGTGTATGGTTATAAATAATGTTCTTTTAATTTCAAACATGTCTATGCAGCTTCTGGTGATTCATATCTGCCAGGTAGGATTCTTAAAGTACAGCTTCTGTGCAGTGTTTACTACCTTGCTGCCTGCTGTGACCCCAGATAGCACAAGTCCACTAGAAAGGCCAAGGTTAGTCAGAACTGAAGGTGTTCTGGAACACGTGAGTTTCATTGTTAAAGCCAGGAAAGTCCTGGACAAACCAGGAAGGGTTGGTCACAATGGCCAAGGTCACACCAAAACTTTGTATCTGCTGTGTCACTGGCATTCTCGTTGGGAGGAAGAAGGAAGAAGACGTCATGGGACATTACTGATGGAATAAGAACGAGGAAGGGGTGGAGGCAGAGCAGTGACCCCAGCGTGTGGTTTCAGGGTTAGCTGGGGAAGTACACTTTGCTCATCTCTCAAGGCAGCCACAATTGCTGCAGACAGAACCACCTTGACTGTGAGGTTACATAGGGCCCTGTTGCTCAAAAGAGCCAGGCTTGGTTTAACGAACCTTTGTTGCCATCTTGAAATTCTTAATAATTTTTAAACAAGGAGCCCTGCATTTTTTTTTTCACGCTTCGTAGTCCTGGCTGTAGGTGTCTGGCCACCTGAATTTATAGAGTAGGAAAGTAGCCAGCTCAGAGGCCCATTCTCACCCAGCGCCTTCACTGCTTACAAAGAAAGTGAGTTGTGCACGGTTAAGGAAGGGTAAGTGCATCCATCGTCGAAGCTCTAACTGGGTGCTAAGCACAATGAGGTGGAATTAAAATGTGGTCTTAGCAAGTTGTGCCCTCAAATAGCTAGAGTCAGAGTGGAGAGGCGATACCCACTATGTGGAGAACACCCACAGAACTGAAAATGGGAATGAGAAGACGGAGGACGTAAAGTGCTCTGTCACAGATAAGCCTTGCGTGTGGCTGCCCCATCGAATGCCCACTCCAGGGAATTAGCACATCCAGTGGCGACTGCAGGCTCAGCTCTAGGAGTAGGCACTGTCCAAGACAAGGCAAAAGGAACTGCCCACTTCACCGGACCCTCCCTCGTCTCTGGTTTCTGCGTCCCAGTGGTCCTGCACCCGCCTCTACTTAGGGCACTGCAGCATTCTGACCTATGAATCGCCTTCTCACGCCACCTTAAATACATTCATGTTATGAATCATCAAGTGTGGGGCATTTTTCAACTGAGAGACATTGACCTACAGAAAAAAAAAAAGGAACCAAGGGCCAGTCACAGTTAGAAGTCAAGTTTGTTGTTATATTGGGAATTTTTTTTGAACACTCCAGAGAAATGTCGTAAGTTAAACTGGCTGGCTTTTAAATTAGAAACAAGGGGGGTCCGAGTTAACAATACAGACATAGATGTATGCATAAGAATTAGGTGATCCCCAGTATAGGGTGATCCCAATTTATCCCGACGAGAAAATAAAAAAACAGAAAAAGAGATTGTTAATCTATCTTATATATGTAAACTCAAGGTTATGGATAAGATAGCTAAATATACTCTTAAAATATTTCATTTCTGGTTAGGTACATAAACTTAAAATCATATACCATATAAAGTAATTCACTAATTTAAGAAAATAGTGTCTCTTTCCACTTTCACATTTATGAGACATTTTCATGCAAACTCTTTATAGGCATCTTAATGTGTGTCTTTACCACTGGAGCCAATTTTGAGTCCCCTAAAACTGTTTTCCAAAGGTATTAATTAATCAGGGTAATTTTGGCTGTTGTAGAGATAAACATCAAGTTCTCGAGGCTTAACCCCATGGAGATGTCTTTCTTACTCATCTCACAGTCCGATGCAGATGTTCCTGGGCAGTAGGAAGTGACTCACCTAAGGTGTGAGTCACACACGTGGTGTGATTCGGGGACCCAGGGTTCCATCTTTTGGACTCACAGTTTTCCAGAGCGCTGCGTTCACTTGCAGGCAGCTTGTAGAAAAGGATGAGAGGGTGGAGAAGGCAGTTTGCTCATTGGGCATCTCAGCCCAGAAGGGGCACATGTCGCTTCTGCTTCCATTCTGCTAGCTGAAATTAGTCGCTTGGTCCTTCTTGAGTACAAGGGAGTTCGGGAAGTGTAGTCATGTCTCAGTTGTAAATTTATTCTATGCAAAGAGAATCATGTATTTTGATAGACTATTAGTCGTCTTGTCATATTATCTTGAAATAAAAGACGCTGTCCCTGAGAAAGTTATTCTGAAGTATAGATACTCATTCGTGTAATATAAGGAAAGTTTTTTAAGATGTATTCTTATAAGTGAGTAGTTGTGGTTACTACTGTTTCTATGGCTTTTTAAAGTGATGTTTTAAAAGGCTTGTTTATAACAACATCCAAACGTTGCAATTGTGAGATTACTATCCCAAGAAAGGCAACTAAATTCTATTTGAATCTCTCTTCTGCCTCTTTGGCAAATGACTTCCATAGGCACCTCATACTAGCTTTACAAGGTTGGTTTGGGCAGTCGTCCTTCCTTAAACAGTGCATTGCTTTCTGAAATAAAGTATTGCGAGAGCCCCCCTCAGTAAGGCTCTGATAAGTCTTGCTGCATATTCAAGCTCGTATGTTTCATACTATTCAGTTCCAGATTTCTGGTCTGGTTACAGGAGAGGACAGATACATTCATTCAGGGGGAAGAATGAAAGAAATATTAAGAGAGAAAAGGAAGGAGCAAATGAGAAGCATAAAAGGGAGATAATAAGGGGGAAAAAAAACAATATCTCACCGGCCCCCTACTTCTCGCTTAAAGGTTCAGATCATCCCCAACACCCCCAATCATCACCTCTCAGCTCCTTCTCTAATTAAGCATCCTGGTTCTTGCCTCATATGCCCTTGGTCATCTAACAAACTAGTTCTCCCATTTCCACCCTCCCCAGCTGGCCCACGTGCCCCAACCCCTCCTCTTCCCACAACTAAGTTGGTTAGTATCTACTCCTTCCCAGAAATTCTTCCACTAGTCCTTCAACTGACATGTTACAGGCCAGGTGGAAAAAAAAGAAAATTCAGACGCAGTTCAACAACACACAAGTAACGGGGCTTCTCCTCTGCCTTCCTGCGCTTCCCCCACCAGGGAGCACTTCGTGGAGATGTACTATTGGAACGCGACGCGGCGTGAGCCGCATACCCTCACGCTGCCTGGCTGCACCCCCAGCTGCCCTCTGACGAAGTTTGCTGAGCTGGTGGCCCCCGTGATCCCCCAAGACTGGTCCGCAGAGTGTACCACGAGCAACTATCAAGGTACCGAGGCCATTCTGGATTAGAGGGCGTGTGGAGTGCCGCAGAAAGGGCAGGACCCCCTTTGTGCAGGCAGATGGTGCTTTGAGGATATAATTTGGTCATCACCCCCATCTTTGTGGGAAATAGGTTTTGGGTGATAATTGAATGTTTCAGGGACCTGAACTTTAGGCAACTCCTACCTCTCCACCTGGTCCTGCCCCTCCTTGCCATAAAGCTTGCCAAACCCGGGAGGCAGTAATCAAGCAGAAAGCATTCACTTGGGGTCAAAGAATTGGAATTCAGGGCACACATATCAAAGCGGAACAAAATTAGAAATGTAAGAGTGTTCTGAATACCTCCCAGATCAAACCTTATTGGAATGCTTAATGCGGGTGTGGTATCTGTCCTGAGGACAGAAGGAATATGTAAGGCTTTGATTCTGGGATCTTCAGAAAACCTTAGCAAACTCACAGGTCCTGCTGAAGCGACTTACTATACAAGAAGAACTCATGTTTGAATAACACTGTTTAGAGTCCTGTAGAGTCGCCACGTGCAGATGAAACACAAAGAGCACCATGCTACGTTACTAGCACAAATAAAGATGAAACAGTTTCTAGAGATGGTTTCTACTGGATGCCAGTGCCTAGAGCAAAGCCATTCCCCCTCCGGGTCGGTCATGGGATGACTGACACAAGATAACAATTGATGTGTTTGTGTTATTTCTTTTCAAAGTACATATTTGGCCTTGAGGCCATCATCTAATTACCCTGTCTCCTCCATGGATGTAACTTTCCTCCAGCAGTGAGCCAAATGTTAAAGAGTGAATAAAGTCATTATTAGGAAGTTCAAAAGCATTACTTTTGTAATGCTTTTTATTTTTTATTTTTTGAAAGGTGTGTGCGTGTTTAATTAGAATAAAATTTCTGAAGGACAGATTGTAGGGGCTTTATTTTTATTTGGGGCTTTTATTTTACTGTAATGAGAAGGAAAATATTAATATAAAGTAAGATGATTTGACTGGCTTACATGAACGTTTTACATTGAAAATGTATTTAGTTTGGACTTGGCTACTTCCAATAAAGGCTAAGCTGAAGCATGGCTCAATAAGATGGAACTTGCCCAGAAAACTGCCTTGGGAAATCTACAATGTAGTGGAGAAGTACAGAGATGCATATTACACAGAATGTCGAAGGTTATGTCTTATGACTCCAAGATTTGCTATGGGAACAAGAGTTACCTGGATTTGGAGGGAAGGAAACAGTAAGGAATGAAGGCTTCCTACAAGAGGTGACAGCTACACCATATGACATCAGTTTGGATGAGGTTTATTCTAATCGTATAGGTGCTAAATAGGCCTTCATCAAATGTGCCGGTGGCTTGAAGCTGGAAAGGACAGGGCAGTTACTTGGCAGAAGATTCAGTGTCCAAAGAGATTCCCATGAGTTTCCTTCAAGGGACCAATTTTAATGAGATAAGATGTCATCTCCACAAGAGCAAGGATTTTTTATTTGTGGCATCCTGCCCTGTATCTGTCCTCAGCACCCTGAGGTGCCTGCGCCTGGCATGGATTCGTGCTCAATAAATATTTGCTCATGAATGTATAAATTATTTACCTTTCCTCTCTGAACCTACTCTTTCTACCTTGATTAGCACCAACACCTAGTAGTAACCTGAGAATTATCAGATTATCACCTTCTCTTTCATTCTCCACAGTCATCTGTCACCTCTTCTTCTTCTTAAATCTACCTGTAGTATGTTTGTAGAATTCTTTTCTTCAAAACACCAACATCAACAATCCAGTATCCAAGGAGAGTGAAATATAATTAAGAAGCAAAATATGTTAATAAAAAGAAAACTTAGGGTTTGGTGTGCTGGAGCTAGCGCATACAGATCTCAGGAGTGGAAAGTATGTATTATTTCCCAACTCTGAGCTTAATGACTTCACTTTGGCAGTTTGAAATTGGCCATTGTATCATGGAGGAGTATTTTTACCATAGAAATCAGCATATGCCACAAATCAGAGTTTCGTTTTCTGTTTGGGTTTTTGTTTTTGTTTTTTAAGTCAAGTTTACCAGCACACCATTGATTTTTAGCTCATAGAAAGTTTGTTAAATGTCTATAACGTGAAGTGGTCTCTAACAGAGTGAATCCAATATTTGAACTTCTTTAAGGAGAAAGGATTCGATGTGTTCCATAGGGTCTCAGACAGTGAGGTGAGGGGCAGCAGGTAAACATTTCAGGAAGACAGATTGTGTTCGGTGGTGGGAAATCCTTGGGACCAGAAGTATCCATGGGGCTGGATGCCCACTTGCCTTGGCAGAGACACTACAGAGCAGGCTGAAGCATGGAAGGTCGTAGGGCTTGAATGACTCTTTAGTACATGCACTAAAGCAGATGGGGGTACAGGATGCCCAGAGAAGTGTGATAAATAGCTCTAACTGCTGAATTTTTATAACTTAAAACAAAAAACAAAAAAACCTTAAGTCAAGATGTGAAAGATGCCCTGAGAAAGCCAAAAGAGGAAGCAGGACAAAACCATTAAATACAGGGCATATCCCATTTACAGAATACCTGGCGGCCCTACTCCTTAGGGTATCTCCATCCATGAAATTCTACCCATACCGATGAGCAGTGTTCTCACCTAGTGCTAAGGGACTCAATTAACTTCATTCTGATATCAGTTAAATTGACCGGAGCCTTTTCTGGGAAATTCATGATACGCTTAAGTCCCATACTACGTTGCCTGAAATGAATAAAACTCTTTTTTTTTAAGAAAATGCTTCTTTAATTCCAAAATTCCACTAACATGGTCAGACTTTCTTCACTAGCACTCTCCCAGCCCCACCTCCATCTCCAACTCCCGTTATTTCATAGGAAGGAGGTTTACCAGTGAGAAGTTCCAGGTTCCCCTCATAATCTTTGTAAAGCTGATAATCTACAGCACATACATACATGCCCAAGACTCAACTATGAGCTTCTAACAGGCCTTTTTCCTCCTTGAATCTTCAGCCAGTGGGCAATGCTTAGAAACTGCCTTCAAACAGCATTTGCTAGTTGAATAACTGTTCCACCCTCCCTACTTAGCCTGTCTTCCTCATGACTGGGCCCAGATGTCAGAAGCTTGCACCTCAGTTTTCAATAAATGGGGGACAGAGGCTATGAATGAGCTTTGAATATACGTGCACTATAAAGACCCACTCATTGACTGTATGTCCATATGTTTATACCAGAGTGGCTGTGTCCTTGGCCTCTGTTTCCTTCACAGACACCTTGGCATCTCTGGTCCCTCGTTGCTGTTTAGAGCCCCTGTTCAATGATATCCCTCACAGCACCCCTCCTCCCTCAGAGATGAGGCCATATGATTACTATACCTTTTTCTCATCCTTGTTACCATTGTCATCAGTTCCCCAGGACATGTCTCATCATTCGTTAATGACATTGGGCACTTGCTGCGGTATATACCAACTCATTTCCTGCTTCCTCTTTTGCTCTCCACCTAGGCAACTCTGACAGTCATTAATAATGGCCCTTCCCATACCCTGTGCACCCCACCAATAGCCAACCCTATCTCAAATCAACCACACAGTTTGAACGTTCTGATCTGCTGAGGAGAGCTAAATAAAATCAGCAGTCACCATTTCAAACTATGAACATTGACATTTCTATTCCAACCTCAGCTGGATCTTTCAACACTGCATAATAATTATAGTCCCCCTCACTGGACTCTTTTCTTGTTTTCTAACAAGAAGGTCTTGTTAATTTTCCCAAACTTAGAATTCCATCTTGACTTCTTTAATTCTCATGAGATATCCTGAGAAGAGCAAGATAACCCATTAAAACCTCTTTTAAGTTCTCCTGTCACTACTTCAAAATATCTCAGTTGCTGTAACCTGCCTTTCCTGCTGTTTCTCAAGAAAACATGCTCCTTCTTGAGCAACCTAATTCCTCTCCCCACCTGTAGGCTCATTGGACCTTGATGAATCTCTTCGTTAGCTTCATTGTCTTCTTTTTGCTATGAAAATGTCCAAATCTCTCATCAAAGAGCACCTCCATGTGCCCACTCCATCTCACTGTCCTCAATCCCAATTTCCTCAAATAAATAATTTATATTCTCCAGCTCTATTTCCCCAGCTTCCTCGTAACTCCTGAACTATTCTGTAAAATGGTATTCTCCCTTCCTTCATCTCTTTGTTGAAACTTGCCTTTTGGAAGTCATCAGTGCGTAATTCAGTGGCCTCTGTTCCTTTTCCTTTCAAAATCACATCTCCCCCTTTCACAGGGAGGAAAACTGAACCTCGGAAAATAACTTGCCACAAATGATAAAGTCAGGATTGAAGCCTAACACTCTCCAACACCGTGTTTCTACCATATCATCTTCCCTTCCCATCCTACAGCATCTTGTGGACTATTCCCTTAGGACAAATTCCCAAAAATAAGATTAGTGGGTCAAAGCATATGAACAGCTAGTAAACAATAGATATTTATTGAGCACCTATGATGTACTTGATATGTACCTATGTAGCAGGCACTAAGTTTGCTGAGGAAACAGCAGTAAGACCAGAAAATTTCCCCACGTGACTTGTAGATCTTGACACAGAGGTGGGGAGGCAGGCAGGGAGGACAGGAAGAGAGACAGAGAATTAAACAAGGCTGAACAATTAAATACGGTGAGTACTCTGACAAAGGACACACAGGTAACTATAAAAACATACAGCAGAGGCAATTGGCCGCAGTCTAAGGGATTAGAGAAGGCTTTTCAAAGGCGGAGATGTTTAAACCACATCTGAAGGAGAGAAGGAGTTAACCAGGTGAGTGGAGGTGAGGAGAGAGGAGAATGTTATAGGTAAAGAGGGAAAGTGTATGAAGGCCAAGAGGCTAAGGACAGCATGGGGGCGTTTTAGGAGCTGGACAACTTATGATCCGTGAGAGGGCAAAGACGCTGAAGAGGCAGGCGTTAAGTGTCTTGTGGTCAAGTTGAGTATCTCTGGTCATTACAGGGTTTTAGGCAAAGGTCTGATGATGTGACTGGCCTCTTGTTTTAGACAGACCTCTTTGGTTCCAATGGGGAGAATGGACTGAAGAGGAGTGGAACTGAGGGCAGGAGAATTTTTGAGAGGCTGTTGGAATAATCCAAAAACTAGTAGGAGTGAAGGAGAAAAAGAGGAATATTCAAAGGGGGAAAAGAGGTAGAGAAGACAGGACTCGGGGGTTCATGGCAAGAGGAAGAGGCTTTTGATACATGTTGTCAAAATCGTTTTCCAAAAAGTAGTGCCCATTCTCAGCTCAGCAGCTTTCCTGTGTCTGCTCGTAGTAGGATGTCATGTCAATCGCTACCAGCACTAGATCTCTTTGCAGTAGATACAATTGATCACTCTCCTTTCTCAGATTCTAAACATCTCTCCGTCAAACTCACAAAATCCTTCACGGTACATGGGAGCATATAATTTAAAAAATAAACACAAGGGAAACCGAAAGAGAGAGAAAGGGAGAAAATCTCTCCTGAGTCTTCTCTTCGTTCTGACTTTTTGTCACGTTTCTGTTGGATTGATCATTTTCACCAGTGCCCTGAAC